CCTTCTCCACCCAAAAGAAGTGTTGCAATTATTGAAATGAGAAAAACAGCCTACTGCTGATCCAAGAAATTGGGCTGCTAGAGGCCTGATTCTCTGCACTTCCTGCTTCAGCTGATAGGCAGTAGTGTCATTAAATAATAGGACTGAAAAGAATAAATTGGGTCCCGGGCCTCATCAGCAAGTTTGTGTGCCTCCAACAAACAGGAATGGCACATTCAGCAAATATTACTGAATGTATGTAGGAACTGAATAAAATGTAGTTACCTTACATATAGCGTTGGAACAAAAATCAATAGTATATGGGCAAACATATACTTCATCTTCTTTGTCTAGGAACATTTCCAAAATAGGAGAAATTTAAACTGGCCTTCAGATTTTTGTAAATGTAACTACATACATGGATAATATTCTCTACTGTTTTTGTATCACAGGGGTAATGATATTCCTGCACATGAAATCTTTTTGAATCTGCCTTCTACTACAATAGGCCAAAGTAAATTACTTCTGACATTTAGATCTTCACAGAGAACAGCAATAATCTAATTAATTTGCTGTTTTGAAAAGTTTTTAGCAGAATCATAGCCCCTGCGCTCCACTGAGTTTTTATGGCTTTCTGGTAGAATCAACTACATTAAATTTTTCAGAGGAAAAACATTTTAAGCATGTAATTTGGATTGAGATGCATACCCAAGTCTCCACTTTTAGAACTCCAACCTCCAGTATTAAGGTTGTATTGGAAACACTTCTGGGTACCTTTGAAATTTAGACTGCATTATTTCTGAAGAGTTCATATCTGTATAGGAACCCAGATGAAAACCAGGTAACCTTGTAGTACATATTTTGCTTCAAATAGTTTCAGGGTTGCATCATGTGTGGAAGCTCCTTGACCTTCTTGGCAAATATCATTGTTTTGATTTTATGGAAGTTAATTTGTAATCTTTCTACTTCACAAGACTGGACAAATGAGCGTAAGGCTTTTTTCAATCCCACTTCAGTTCACAAAAGAATGGGCATATGATTAGCATACAGAAGGAGTGGGATAGGCCATTCAGCCAGCTTAGGTATGTGAAACATTAATATGTAAGTTAACTATCAGCAGGACAAAAGCATATTGTTTCAACCCAATGACTCTGCTAACCAGGTCTGTCAGGTGGCATTCTGACCCATGACTTACTTAAAGTTGGAGTAAAACTTATGAAACAGTTAACAATTTTTAATCAGATTTTCCCCATAACTGCTATCTAGAGACTAAAGTGAATTTAAGGCTAGATATAATAGCGTGCTGCGACCATGGACAAACTCTACAAGATGATGTAAAGTCACTGCTTGATCAATAGAGGAGTCGCTCAGTCTAAATCCTGTTTGTTCTTCTACCAATTGTGATCTTGTATCCAGTTAAGTAGTGTTACATAAAGATGTTTAGCATGTAATTTGCTAATCATTTTTAATAAATGAATTGGGTAGTAATTGTCAGGACCTTTTCTCTATCCTCTGAAATCTGAGCCAAAGTGCCAACATATATAAATAATGCTGTAAGTATAGGTGCCCACCAGTCAACATAAAATTAAAATTTTAATTCTTAAAACTAAAGAACTTTAGTAGGGACAAAATCAGAGCATGGGGACAAGTAAACTTTCAATTATTCAATAAATTGTCTAACTTCCTGAACTGGTATGGCAAACTAGTCCAGAATAATCTTCATCTTTATTCCCATATCTGATAGTGCATACTGTTTTATTGCCTTGCATTATGTGAGCTTCAAGCCAGTCATATGGGCTTAGGTTAGGAAATCTTTCACTTTTACAGCCACAATTAATTTTGATACCATGAGGAAACAGACTTTTATGGATTTTCATCACTTAATACAATATACTCTTCTGTTAAAAGATGTAGTGTCTACGCAATTATTTCAAATGGGATAGCACTATACAGTATATGGCCACTTTCGGCATTCATATTCAGCATTTTTTTGTTAAAAAAAACTTATGCTTTCCTTCAGCTTCTTATTTAAGAAGGAAAAAAGAATCACATACCAGCTGCTCGGAGGCCAAAAGTTTGAGAAACTTTTTGATGAAGTCAATTAGGCTTTGTATTGTTCGAGTTTTTTCTACAGTCCATTTCTTGGTCTTCATTATAGGAGTATCTCCAACAGCTTTGAGCAACACATCAACTAGAAAACAGAACACACTGTAAATGAAAAAATGAAAAGCAAACACGTTATGTGCTAAAGTATACAGAATGGGCAGAAATAAAAGCAAACATCCTAATCTACAGATGTTAGGAATGGCTAATTATGCCAATTTGTATAATTCTATTTAAAATATGTTTACAAGATAAAACCACTTCAAGATAAATCTCATCACAATAAACATGAGAAGAATAAAAAGTAATAGCTATAAAACAAACATCCAATTCAACTGTATACATAATTGCTACGAAAAACTGTAAAATAAAATGCAGCTGAAGAGAAGGCTAAAATAATGTTTTCTGAGGACCTGTAATAATGTAACCTAATGGATCTGTGATAGTGATAAATTCCAAATGCAAGAGGACAATGCAACTCTCCTCCTCCCTTATTTCTGTCGATGCCTATCCTTAACAGCAAGTAAATGAGGATGGTCCCTTTTGCTGATTTAAAATACAGGAAGGCTGAAAAGGATGAAGGACCACATTGAAGGAATTGGGATACACTGTTAAGATTTTAAAGCAGACACGCATTATCTTTTGAGAGCGGAGAACTGACTTATTGTACATTCCAAGAAATAGGTAATTCTAAAATCTAATAAAATGTAACATGATAGCACTGCCATGCATTTAATAACGCCTATTTTAAAGGTGATAAATTAGCAACTTTTCGAAGGGATCCGGACACTACCTCAAGAGTTTGATGATGGCTTTAAGGTGGTTTGCATGTGGTCTTGGGCTTGTACGTTGTGCTTTTAATTATATTATATCCTTTGATTAACTACTTATACAACAGCTAGAAAGGAATTTAAGAGGAGCCTAGCATTTATCAATAGTTCCAGTCAAATCAATAAAGTTCTAATATTAACTTTCTCAGTCCCTCAATCAGCAGAATGTGGATCGATAATACGGAGGCGAGCGGGGGCGCAGCTTTACGCAGCCTCCGGGAATCACCGCACAGAGTGGAAGCCAGTCAACACAGCTTCCTTTGAAACCTGAAAAAAGGCTGCGGTATCTACAACGGCAAGTCCCCCGCCCCCCACGCCCGACAGGTGATCTTTCCTCCTCCCGCCGGTTTACTTTTCTTCTTCGTGTCTCCTGCAGGTTCTTCGGCCACCGGGGAAAGAGCCGAGAGGGGGGTCGCGTCGAGCGTCCCTACCGCAACTGCTCCTCCTCCACCCCCTCCAATTTCAGAGGTATCGTCCCCACCATTCCCTC